TCACACAAAGGAAACACATTTTATTCAACATTTAACAAAAATTTCTGGGTACATTTCAGTCTGTATTTATATTAGAAAAATCATTATTGATGGTAATATTTGAACAATTGTTCAGTACTAACGGAATACTATTATTTTCTTTGATCAAACTTTGAAAGGTTTGATTATTGCTTCCTGTCATATTATTATCAGTTTCCAAAACTGTAGTAAAGATTGATGGTCTTGCAGTAGGGACTGATTGTGATTCCGAGCTAGTTCCGAAAAGTTCTATTCTCTGCGACTGTGCTGCTTTCCCAGCAGCCATGCCTTTTCAGAACCAATAAATCACTGCCACTATCCACTAATAGTTTGTCTGAAGAACGTCTGAATGAATGGCCAGTATAGTTTCTGAGTTTGGTCATTTCTAGAATGTAGCGATTTCTTTGGTCATTGCCCCAAACTTGTTAATTCCCACAAACTGGGAGATACATTTGCCTTACTGGTAATCAATGAAAAACCTGTTATTTTTATCGACCATGGTTTTGGGACTAAGATGAGCGTACTTTTTATATATTTCATAAAATATTCCTGTTAATTTGAAAGTCCATGGTACTTTATTTTTGGTGTTCGGAACCTTTACAATTAATTCAGTTTTCGCATCATTCGTGTAGATAATTTTCACATTGGCCAATTCAGCCCGTCTCAGGGCTCCATCCGTTTTTAGCGAATTCTAAAGAACTACTAGAGAAATACACATTTGTTATTTCTCTAGTAGTGAGCACTGTATCTTAAAAAAATGATAATTTGGTCAATTTGTATAATATATCTACTATGAAATGAGTTCATAAGTGGCATGATTATTACTCTTCAACTATGAAACATACAAATAGAAAAAAAGTAACTTCTTCAGGCTTCGAATCTACACCATACATTCTGAGCTACTCAATGACAATAATATTATTTGTCAAAATACATACAAATGTATATGAGTGTATATGAGTAGTGATTCAGTAAAATTCTATTGAAAAATCTCATTCTAAATAAATCAACTGTAAATGGAAATCAAAACATACCTTGATTAACAAATATTTTTCATCCGGAGCAGTCTCCATAATTTGTTAGATTTGCAAAGGGATTGGAAATATTTGATTTTGGCCTTGTACTTATTTCCTAATTCTCATATGTAAGCCAATAAAATTACCTCGGAGAAGCTTTTTGCGCACTAGTGTATATTTCGCACTAGTGCGAAATATAATTCACAAATATGTGACCATTTCTGATCAGTTTACCAACCACATGGTAACAGAGAAAACTGTAGGAAAGACTCAAAGTGGAAACTACAATGAAGTTAAAATTCACCTAACGAGAAATACGTAATATTAGTGATATAGTGCATACTTCTGACTAGTTTCCATGTGCCAACAAAAATGGTACGTCAAACGGGGTAATTTCGATCATGCGGGGAAAAATCGATCAAGCACGCCACTGCGAAGAAAATAGGGCGTAAAACGGGAAGGGTGCATTTTTATATAGTGGACAACTGTCCACTGGTTCAGTGAGATTTTAGTAGTGATCGACTGCAGAGCGCTGAGTGACACAAAAGGTAAGAACATGTAGGCACACGTATTTATAGAAGATTGAAAATTGGCTAAAATTTAAACATGCGAAAACGATTGATTCCACTACTTACAACTTGTGCGAAGGAATAGATTTCGTAATAATATGGGAAAACATAGTTATTTGTGAATGTGAATAAACAAAAATAACACTATAATTTAATTTTTGTAATACTATATTAGAGGTTTTTAAAAAAAAACTATTGTTGAGGGGTAATTTCGATCACTGTCAGTTTCAGAAACACCTATGTTATTATTGCCTACTTTTCAATTTAAGAAGTAATATTTTAAGTTATGTTTATTGTATAGTACAATAAGATACACAGAACAACCTGTACAGTGTTGCCAAACATATGGCGATGTCCTGTTTAGTGAGAGAGTAATTTTATGTCTATATTAATTCTTTTTTTATTTGTTCCTAGATGCCTCGACACTATCAGAAAAAGTTTGGACCCCGGGGAAAGAAAAATTATGACGAATTATTCCTTCAGAGGGCAGTGGCGGCGGTGAAGCAAGATAAAATGTCAATGAGGGCTGCCGCTGAACAATTTGCCATGCTTTACTCGACACTCAATGATCACTTTCACGGACGACATCAGCTGAAGTATGGGAGACCGCCCGCCCTAGATGCAAACGAAGAAAGACTTTTGTCCGAAATCCTGCAACTTTGCGCCAATTGGGGATTCCCCTTAAAGCCAATCGACATCAAGCATATTGTAAAGCATCATTTAACAAGGCGTAAGTTGACAGAACCAAGGTTTATAGAGAATTTACCTGGAACAGATTGGTTTAATGGTTTTATGAAGCGAAATCCCAATCTTACCATAAAACTAGCAGAAAATACGAAACGAGTTCGAGCAGCGTTAAGCTACGAGTCAGTGGAAGATTATTTCCGAAATTCAAAAAATGTCACAAAGGATATTCCATATTCTAATATTATCAATTATGACGAAACGAATTTCGTAGATGACCCCGGTGCTGTGAAAGTAGTTTTAAAAAAAGGCATCAAACATGCACATAGGGCCATAGATAGCACGAAAACTAGCACTACGGTCATGTTTGCGATATCAGGGGACGGCACGATGCTTCCACCATACATTGTCTATAAGGCAAAACATTCGTATGTGGGATGGACTGAAGGGGGTATAGAAGGGGCCACATACAATCGCACTCTCAGCGGGTGGTTTGATTCCACCATCTTTGAAGATTGGTTCTATTTTATTGCTTTGCCGCACTTCAAAAAGCTAGACGGAGATGAAGTTCTGATCGGAGATAATTTAAGTAGCCACGTCACTGTAAGCGTAATACGAGAATGCGAAAATAACAATATTAGGTTTGTCCTCCTTCTACCAAACTCGACACACCTGCTACAACCTCTTGATGTAGCTCTCTTCCGACGTCTTGAACCTGCATGGAAAAAGGTATTAGAAACATGGAAGTTAAAAAATAGAGGAGTGCTTCCCAAAACTGTATTTCCAAAGCTTCTTAAGGAGACTGTGGAGTCTGTTGGTCTCAGATCTCAAGCCAACTCTATTGCAGGGTTCAAGGCATGTGGCATCATGCCATTCAATCCGGACGCTGTACTTAAGAAAATGCCACGTAAAACAGTTGACGATACCCTTGAAACATCATGGACAGGGGCTATAATAGACCATCTTGAACAACTTCGAACAGGTCCATCAAATACTATAAAACGAGGAAAAAAACTGAATATATCTGCAGGAAAGAGCATAGGGACATCGGATGTGCTAATAGCTGAATCCAGATGCACATCACAAAACATCAACACCAGAAGTTACAGCGAATCAGAAGAACCTGAGCAAGCTGAAAATAAGAATATAAGTGACATTGAGTCAGAAAAAGAATTGGATTTAGAGATTGTGGAGTCAGAGAAGTCATTCAGAGAAGAATACGAAATAGGAGAACCCTCTACCATGAGCAAAAGCTTGGCAGATGAGCAAAACTCTGAAACTTTTATTGTAAACGATTACGTATTAGTTAAATTCAAAACGGACAAAAGAGACAAACATTTTATTGCCAAGATTGAGACTATCTCAGGTGAAGAAATTACTGTTAATACAATGCGCAAAAAGGAGTCAAAGAAAGACTTGTTTTTTGTATATCCGCAAATTCCGGACCTATCAATAATTACATTAGAGCAGATTGAAAGAAAGGTTAACTTGAAAGGAGAAAAACATGGAAGGCACAACTTTCATCTTCGCGATGAATTTTAAATTTTTTGTTATATTTTGTTGAAGTGTTGACTGAACTTTTATCTACATACCAATGTGATATTATTCGTAGATAGGTATTAGAATTTGTGATTAAATTATGTTCCTATGTTTTTCTATCATTTTTAGTTGTTTTGTTCAGTTATTTTAAATAAAGATTACATGACTATCAAAAAAAGAAGCATTTTCCTATTTTTTGATGGATCCATTTCACTAAAAAAGAGAAAACATGTTTTTTTTTATTGTACGTAGATCGACTTTAGCCTTTGAGAGGGAAAAGTCGATTTTTCTATGCTTTAAAACAGGTGATCGACTTTACCCAAAATGCGGGGTTAAGTCGATCACACTTTGAATAAAAATAAAAATTGAATGGGAAAAGTTACAAAAATAATAATGGGTTCATCAGATGGTTTAATGTTTGAGGTAACTTTGTTTTCGATCTCATTTAAAAAAATTCAATCGTTTAGGCGCTAGGATAAAAAAACCTTTATTTTTGATCGACTTTATCCCGTTTGACGGTATGTACAAAATAATCCAACTGACCCTTTGAAATATTACCAGTCAATCTCGGTGACATCTGTCGATAAGAGACGTAACCTGACAGTCGTCAATCCGCTCCAAAACAGAAAGCAAAACTTTCCGTTACCATCGTCTACATGCCGTTACCAAGACACTCTGATTCAGTTAATTCATTTTAATAATAAACAGATCTCTTGTCGGTGAAAGCTGAAAAGAAAGACATAGAACGAATCTCTTTCGAGAAGATTGGTCGATGGAGAAGATTGGCTTCACAACAGGCCGACTTGGGGAGTCTTATTTTTATCTTTGATATTTGTGAATTAAGTCTTCTGTGGACACAATAGATGGCGTCTTTGTAGAGAAAAATTTCGTTTCTACTTATTCGGGATTGTTCTTTAAGAAAAATTGAGTTTAGCAATTAGCAAATCGAGATTTACCTACTAACTCAGAATAAGAGAAATATTGTAAAGTCAAACTTGAGAAACCTATGCACTACTTACTCGTCCCCGAAGAGGCCTAAGCCATTGTCTAAGGATTTACCTAGGCCTATAAAGTCTGAAAATAAGTTTTCGCGAATAATTTTTGCTCAAGTTTATGGGTTAGGTCGATACCCATATCCAAACAAAATAAAAAAAATAAAAAAATAAAATACTAATTCAGAGTCAAAATCTGTATATTTGAAAATCAGTTTCATAAAACTGTCTTGAAATCAAGTACAAATGTGAAAGATTTTCATATTTATTGACGTATTCTGAAACACTATTGAAAAATTTGATAAAAAACCTAAATTAACAAAAAAACTTATGGATCAATCACTGTTTCATTCTCAATCTAGTGTGCTTTGCACTGCGGTTTCGGATTATATTTTTTGGTGAGGTTTTTGAGAATCTTTTGATACTCTTTAGAATTTTCCTTGATGAAATTATCCCTCCATGCTTCGCCGTCTTTTGTTTTAGTTTTCTTCATGCCGGGCCAATGGATCAAAAACGCCCCGTCGAGGATAACAAATTTATATCCGATAAGGCACATCTCCAACATCTGCAAAAAATAATTTACACATTTTCTGTTTCAGAACTGGCCCCAAAGTAAATTCCCAGAAGCTGCAAAATGTATAGTCATCAATGATGGAAAATCATATAAATAATAATAATCATTACATAAAAATACCGTATCACAAATATTCATTTTTATAGTCAACAATCTGATAGATGTTGATTAAAATGTATTTTAAGAAAGTTAGAAATTGTAAATATAAAAAATATCTTATAGGTACTCACAAAGGCACTGACTGTATGTGAGTTATCATCAAACTGATGAATTTGTTACAGGGTTGCACAACAACCTCTACTGGAGGTGATGTAATCAAGTTAAAATGAACAAAAAATGAAATGAAATAATTGGATAAATAGAAAAATAGTGAGGGTAATATTCATAAATAAAAATGAATGAGAAAGAAAAAAACACCTAAAATAAATACAGTCACTCGGATGAACATTCAGGTAAGTTATAAGTATGGATTGTTTTCCAAATCAATTACGTAATAAATTTCTATTCTAGGAGTAAGACTTGTAGACTTGAAAAAAGGAATAGAGTTAAGAAGTTTGAAATGGCAGAGAATGACACCATACAGCTTCAATACAGCTTTGCATTACAAAGTGAGTGCGAACATTCGTGGTATGTCCATTATTTTACCCTTCCGATATAGTTATGGCTTGGGAAGGTATACTGATTGCTTGGCATGCTCTCAAAATATATACAGGGCGTTCCAACGAAAACTTGAACCCCCCATCCTGTAAATCAGAAACGGACGTGTAATCGAAAATTTCAAAGAACACGTCAATTTTTATTTCTAGGAGACTGATTCTGATATGGAAATAATACCCAAAACTCCACCCCCTTGGGTCAGCAACTACACCCCTATTTTTTTCAATAGCATGGGGGGTCGAGTGATACATCATTTGAAAGATCTTTTGTCCCTCTATTATTTCTGTGTTTTTTTTCGATATTGGTTCATTCATTATTGAAAACTTAAATGTTGAACGTTTTATTTAGGAAAAAAACATAAAATTCGCTGTCGTTCATTTGAATAGGGAAATCAACAACAAATAATATCAGTGGAAACAAAATCAACGGTGAAATGTTCAAAATGACCTCCATTCAGTTCCATACAATAATACAGTCTACTCTCGAAAGCGCTCCGTATATTATTCAAGATGTCCGGTGTCAGCAATCGGCATTCCAAAACAATTCTCTGTCGCAGGTCTTCTAGATTTGTAAGCTTAGTAGAGTAACCTTTCGACTTCAGGTGTCCCCACAGAAAGAAGTCAATCGGTGTGAGATCAGGTGATCTAGCTGGCCACAATACTGGACCCCTTCTGCCGATCGAACGCATTGGAAAATGTTCGTACAAAAACTGCTGAAATGTTATTTAATTTTTTATTAAATTGTCATTATTTTCTAAAATTTGTGTAATCACAGGATCTACACAGTCTTGTAACAGATTGAAGTATGTGTCTCCATTAAGATTACCTTCAATGAAGAATGATCCAACAATATAATTACCAAGAATGCTGACCCAGACATTCAATTTTTGTGGACTTTGTGAATATGTTCTCATCACCAAATGAGGATTCACATCGCTCCAGTAACGACAATTTTGTCTATTCATTTCACAATTCAACATAAAAGAACTTTCGTCTGAAAAACATATATTGTATACTAGGTTTGGGTTATTGGCCAATTTCTCGTTGAACACCTCACAAAACTGAAGTCGACGATCAGGATCATCTTCGTTTAATTCCTAAACTAGCCTTATTTTGGAAAGATGGAATTTGTAGGCTTTCAAAATCCCAAAAACACTAGTAGCTGATACACCAGACGCTCTAGCTATTTGTCTGCAATATTTTCGATTATTCATTTGTACATGTTCTAAAACTGCAACTTCAACTACGTTATGTCTAACNTCGTATTATAAATTCTTGCAGCAGCTTTAGCACATTCATTATTTCGATAATAGGTTGCAACAATTTCTATTCTTTCTTCAGTAGAATAAACCATGTTGGAACACAGTGAACAAGGATGACTGAATAATAATTTGTGAAGAAGTGGCAGTGGCCAACTATCTACTTTTTGTTCTGTGACAACTACATTCAACAAAAACTACCAGTGTCGACCATTACAAAACGTTTACTACTGATTAAATAAATTCTACAAATCTAGAAGACCTGCGACAGATTTCTGACTCCGGACATCTTCAATAATGTAAGGAACGCTTTCGAAAGTAGACTGTATTATTGTATGGAACTAGATGGAGGTCATTTTGAACACTTTATCTGTTGATTGTGTTGCCATACTTTTGTTGATTTCCTCAATAAAATGAGAGACAGCGAATTTTCTGTTTTTTCTTAAATACAACGTTCAACATTTAATTTCTCAATAACGAATGAACCAATTTCGAAAAAATAGAGGGACAAAAGACCTTTCAAATGATGTATCACTCGACCCCCAAGCCATTAAACCGCCTAGAAATAAAAATTGACGTTTTTTCTGAAATTGTCGATAACACGTCCGTTTCTGACTTACAGGGGGGGTCAAGTTTTCTTTGGAACGGCCTGTATATCTAGACCCTCTGCATTTGTTACGCCAATCACTTATACCATACATCAAGTGAGTTTGTACCAAAGCATAATGAACATAACTATTACTGAAGTTTAATCTCAACACCAAACCGTTATTTTCAACACCTCGACACATGTTTCAATCACCAAGTGATGGTCTTCAAGAGGAAGAATAAACTGGCTCAAAGTTTAACATAACAAACAGTGCATAATGAACAATTTCTTGAAGCTCCAGCCTGAGAATACTCGTATTGTTACCAAAAATAGTATTTTGAAAATGTCTTCAATTAAAAGATGTTCATTGAAGAATACAATCCTTCGTTTGAATGACTTTATCTTCGACCAACTTGATAAACTGATGGATTTAAACATGCCTCGTTGATTGAAGAATGGAAAGTTGATTCGAGGCAATGGTGAGTGGACTTCAAAGATAATTCAGCCTCACCTGTAACATTTTATCCTGCAATCCTTCCCAGGACAACATTTCATTGTAGAAAGGCTCACTTTTTGTGCCGATATAAATAGGTTCCCACCTGTGATAAGGCACTTCTCTTCTAGCTGTTGTCAAAGGCTGTAACAAAAAAATAAATCAACGGTGCAAAGCTCAGTGCAAGACATCATCATTTAGAGTAAAACTTAGATATCTCAGGTCAAGTTAAAAATCAGTACAGATCAAGCTATAGGATACGTTTTTCAATTTTTTCGGAAACAATTTGTTATGTTTCACCTTATTTGTACTCAGCATGAAAGAAAATAATGTTCAAAATGAATCACTTGGAGATGGTTGGTTACTAATAGTCATGAAAACATATGCCCCCTTGAACTCACCTTGACGAAATCCCCAGGATCCGAAACCAACCAAGACTCGATTCCAGGAAACTTTTGACAATGGGAGCAAATTAATTTGTGAAAGTATACAGCCTTTTCCTCCCGGACGAGCTGTAATAGTTTTTTCTTCGTCCGAGGAATCTCTTCGGTCGACTCCACTTCGAAGATTGGAAGCACGAAAACTCTATGAGGACACTCTGTCAACTTGTATATGTCGATCATGTCAATGTACTTCTTTGCCAAGCCTGCACTGGGCATCAGCTGGATATCTGACACCAGAACGTTTTCCGTCAAAGCGGCTGTGCGAGCAGCGTTTCTACATACATTGATGGGGTACATGATGCTATCGTCTGCGTGTCTGAAATGGATATATAAGGTGAGATGGAATATATTGTTTCGATCCGAAAGTGATGTCTATTATTTCAGAGTTTGCTAACAGGGGGTTGAATACCGTTTGACTGTTTGATTTTTTTCAAGTCTTCAAAGAACACCGCATCTCCCTCTCATGACAGGTATGATGGATGTTTGTCATATTCTTGTTGGTATAATTTTCAATGCCTTTGCTTGACACATGCAGTATTTTACAGATACTTGAACATATGAATAAATGCAAGGCTCCAAGATAACAAAAAATCAAACGAGTAGCTGCAATTTGAATTTTCACTCACATGTATTTCTGTCACCGTCTCATTACAGTATTCGACCCATCTTCATTTACGCCAATCATCCTCACTTCACGGTTTGTGACGATAATCATGTATTTTGTATAAAAAGTATTCCGTTCTCTCGTGCTCCGTGAACATGTTTGATATTCGTTCCTCAACATGTCAATCAATTTATACTTTCACTGATCCCTTGTAACACGATTATTTGGCCTGCTCATACTTCTCTTATTATTATAAGATGTAGAGTGAGTTGATTGAAAAGTATTTCCAATGCTGTTGTTGGCTATTTTCTTTTTGACCTCCAAATCAAAGAGGCATGCCAATACATTATGTCTTTCCGTCGGTGCCCCTAGCCAGTAAAATTTATCTTCTCTCCTATCTGGTCCATATATTAGTTTCAAGTCCATTTGCCATCTAGTATCCTTATCCCGCCAATTGCATTTCTTCACTTCGAGGTTTCAGTCTAAGTTTCACTATCTTGGTAGTTGATATAATCATGGATGCTTATCTTACTTTATATCCGTTGTGAGTAAAACAGTTCAGAGAGGTAACTAATCATAAAAGTTAAATACTGGTACATATTACTGTAGTCTGGAATATCATTGAAAATGTGGGTTCTGTTGAATCTGATTCAAGGATTCATTCGGATAAAAAGTTTCAACGTCTTTTCAGAGATACGGACCTTTGAATTTTCTATATCGCTTAGAACCAAAAGTTTCGTCTGCTACTGCGGCAGACAACTTTAGTGGTGTAATATCAATGAATTAAAGTCTATGGAATGGTTTTGTTACAAAATATGATGGGTGACTACTGATTTTTTTGGTCTTCCATATTTTAGGTGTGCTAAGTGTTCCTTATGTCTTATTTTGATAGATCTTTTTGTCTGTCCATAATATTTTGCATCGTTGGGATCCTTATAGATTTCAATGGCTTCTCTATCTATACACATCCCAACAATTCGAACAAGTCATACGATTCAACAAAACGTGGTAATGAGTACTCAAGAAGGCCAGAAATTGACTAGAATATATTTTCGATCAACATTCAATCCGCAACACACCTATCAACAACGTGAACCAATCAAAATAACTCAACACACATAATAATTATAATGATAAATGGTCTTTATTTTACGTGGCGGAGTTTAGCAAAGCGCTATTCTTCCACTCAACCACGAAACATTACAAAAAATAAATGGCAACTTCAGGACAAAAGTAAGATTAAATTCAAATGTTNAAAGCTATTTCAACTCAAATTTTCAACTGACCCTATTGCCTGATAAAAATTTTCAGAATTACTATAAAAGTGAGAAACAGTAATAGGTGAAAAGTCCCTAACTTGATGGAATGAGGCCCTGTGTTGAAATAAGAGACTCATGGAAAAGGCGATGGAAGGATGTTGATAAAACCTAAGAAGCAAAGATAAATACCCGGAATACTTTCATACAGGAGAGAAGAAGAGAGCTTTCTCGAGTGCCTTCCCCCGGTCAGAAATCATAAATGTAACACCAGAATACCCTATACAGTGGGGTAAAACTTAACCACGAAACACGAACACACCCACAAAATCCGGTACCTCAACATAACAACAACACAAACACACACATACCTCTTCACATTTAGGCACAGGAAACCACCATGCAAACACTACATATAGTGAAGGAAGGTATAACAAACAGAACAGATAAAAAGTATGGGTACTAGAGTACTATAGGCCGAATTCCGACTATACGAAGTTNATAAGAATTACTCCTTTTCGATATCTCCAATTTTTCAAAAAAAAATAATGTAGTATGATACATCATTGAAAAGGTAAAATCTGGTTCTACTCAAAATAGAAAGAATCCAATGTAGCGCCCATAAGAAAAAATAAAGTTGATGATGGTGGCCGGAAGCCGAAACGTCGGATAGCACCATTATGTAGCAGTTCGAAAAGTGGCAATGTTGTAGTGCAATTTATTTTCGAATCCTTTGAAAAATAAAGCCAGAAAAAAATAAAAACCATTTTCCGAAATTTTTGTTTTTTCAGGATATCTATTTCCGGATATACTCGGAATTTCAGAACCTTCTCAACAGTATATTGTTAGTCAGGTAAATGCGAAACTTTGCCCTAGGATCAAATTTGAAACACCCTGTATATAAATGTAATTGATCAATAGTAATCAGTCATTTTTGCTGAAGATAATACGTAATACTCGTGTATTCTCAAAGTATCTAGGAATACACAACTTTTCAAAATAATAGATATAACTTTCCAAACTTTTATTTCAATTAGATATCAGATTTTTCAACTCACGGTTCAAAAAAAAGTGTGCCATTTCCTCAACTTGATGATGGTTTTCCATTCAGTGTATAACAAAAACCCATAATTATAACAAAACAGAGATTCATTTTACTCGAACGGAGCAAGAAACACATGACTGCCAGCGTCCACAGGGCGGCCTCTGCCGGTGGAAATTCTACGGAAAATCTCTATGCGGGTATGTTTTCTCAGGAAATCAATACGCCGTACTGGCTGTAGCTAATGGGTAGGTTCCAGTATGCAATAACAAGATATTTCGTGTCACGCACATGTTGGATATCAGCAATACGAGAATAATATCACAATCTGCTAATGTTTTCTTCCACAACGTGTGGAATATAATGATAATGATGTTTATTCATATTAAATTGTCCAAAACATCACATTAACGTTTTAAGCAATCTCATCAAAGTAAACGAGAAATGAACTCAATAACATCGTTTGTCTTCAAAAAAATAAATACCTGGGGGTAGCTCACAGAACAAATAATAATTCGAGAAAATTCATTAAAAATGTTGTAGATGAGGCTTAGGTGTCTGTAAGAATAAGGGTATATAAATTGACTCGTGATTTTTGCCCGAAACATCATTGGCCAAACTTGGATAATTCTTTTCCAAAGAATAAAATAACATAAGAACATAGGAGTTCAATCACGAATTCAACATATTACATTCAGAAGGGAAGAGTTTGAAATCGATCTTTTGAAATACTTGGAAACTATTGAATTTTGAAAATTCTGAGAATTCACTTAATGACAATGAGAATTGTATCATTCCCTTCTTTTAAAATGTGAAAATCGGTAATCAGTTTATAACATTTTAATAAATTGTAAAAAAAAAATCCATGATGTTTAAATATTTTGAATTAGTTCATATACATACTTAGGTGAAATTATTAGTCTTTAAGTAAGTGGAAGGTCATTTGATACAAATCATTATATATAAAGCAATAATTGAGTAAAATTTAGTCAGTACGAACCAGCTTGAGGAAGCTTTTGTATTGTTGAACACGTGTTGTTGTTTTATAAACTGAGCAGTGAAAATCTCACAATGAACTGTTTTTTCGATACGTTATGGATTTTCATCAAGAATTGGCCAATTCTTTCACAGATACCCTTCCTAAATTCAAAACAGGCTCATATTTAAAAATGTTCTGTATCAATTGAAGTGAATTCAGTTCCTCTAGCTTCTATAACCATGAAAAACGTTTTATTTATACAGTGGTTGCTGTTTTAAATTCTTTTTGATGTCTACGTATTGGTAAAGGTAATCAACTTACTATGAAAATGTTCTTCTTCTGTACAAGTACAAAATTACGAAAGTTCAGCACATGCACTGTCAAATATACTTGATCTGAAGGATGCGTGTTTTATTTCTTAAATTGTTTTTCCATTGTGTCCAATTGTTTTGGGTGAATATTTGTAACCACAGTTTGGCATACTGCAGAAGAGGTTCCACTAAGGAATATTATACAGGGAGTCAATTTGAAAACTTTCCACCCTTAATATGTTCCTTCCAGTAAATCATATGAGGAATCGAAAAAACAGGTCAATTTTATAGTCAAGGGGAGCACTTTCAAGAAATATTTGTAGCCTTCGTGGTTCAACCCCCAAGGAAGGGTAGATGTTACCCTTAGAATCTTAAATGGGAAATGGGTGTCAAGTGGACATCGTTTTTATTACCTTTTTATTACCAAGTTTCCAAAAAACAGCGTTCTAAACTTACACATGTAATCAGAATTTGCATGTTCTGAGATGTATCATTGTATTGACTCCTTTTTATAAAAATGGTTAGAATAGTAGGTGGCACCGTTCCAACCCTTGAATGACAGGAATAAATGTATTACGCTTGGGATATTTTATTTTTGGTTATTGTTCTTTTACAAAATAAAACTCATTTTGCGAGAAAGATAATTCAAATATAAAATCTACTTACGCTTATCTTAGAAACTGTTCGAAATGTCGTCCATTTTGCCCTAAACAGTAATAAAGTCTGTTTTCGAACGGAACACTCCACTAGGAATAGACTGGCATGCTGCTGTAATTCATTTTTTAAGTTTTTCAAAACCAGAAGGTTGTATTTCATAAACAACGTATTTAAGATGCCTCCAAAGGAAGAAATCCAAGGGTGTTGAATCCGGTAATTTCGGAGACCATTCAACTGCCCCCCTTCTGCCAATCCATCTATCCGGAAATCTCTCGTTTACCCACTGTTAGACGAAAAGAAAATAATGAAGTGGAGCACTGTCTTGCTGGAAATGTAAGACACATAATTCCGCTACTGTAGCGGAATTCACTCAACGGTAACGGCGTAGCGAATTTGAACATAAAGTAGCGGAATTTTCTACAAATAATATTGAAAAAAAATATGGAAGAAGAGGCTGACACTTAAAT